TATCAGTATAATTATATATAACTATATTTGAAAGCGTAGCTACCGAATACTTTAAATACACTTAATTACAAATTAAAACAATGTAAATCACTTAATTTATTTTCAATAAGTAGTGTTTACTATATAAGTACCTATGCCCAGCTCTCGACTTCATATCGTTGAACGTGAAGGCGCCTCGCGATAAATAAGTTCGCAACACTTACAACAATCATATATGATAACAACAATGTATGGAAGAGGTAATAGCTGCTAAGTTCTCACCTGTATTACTGCTACAAAAATACTACTCAACTTTTTTGTTGTCATTTTGCTTATTGTTTCTCTAATAAAAATACTAATTAATTATGACTCTTTAAATAAGCAAATTTCTAAAATTTTATGTGCATATGATTACGTAAACCGTTATATGACAGCTGACACATTTCTTCACTTTTTGTTTTGCTTATTATAAGCTTAACAATAATTGTCAGTGCCTTTTAATTGCATATGCCTGTTCGCAATTTCAATTGTAATATGTAATCGATTGTAATGTATTCAGTGATAAACAATACTTTGCTGCATATATAACGTTCAATTTGCATAAATATTATATAGAAATTATTATATTTTTCTATAATACTCGTGCCCCCGTATAAATTTGTTCCAGTGACTTGCATTTTTCGCACAAGCCAATTTCAGTTAATTGTGCGGCAATTTGTGTGGCATATTACATCAGTTTAACTGGTTATTGTTCGACAATCTCGGGTGTCGGTGATAAGGAGACATTTTACAGAGCTTTCGTGAGACTCCATTTTATGGCAGTGAATTGTGCGGTGATTTTTTATTTTTTTGAATAGAACTCTTAAACACGTGTTAGAGATAACGGCCTTTTGTGTTAACAGATTTATTTTTAAACAATATATTTCAATACTGTACTTTCCATTTCATAGAGTTTCTATTTTAGTAGATGTTGTCTGTCAGATTTGGAGATATTGTACGCTGAGAGCTAACCTAACATTCTTACTTATATCTAATCACCAGTCTCCATAACCGTTAGTTTGAACAGGAGCCTAAACCCAGAGTGAAGCAGCTCGCTGTTTTGAACTAAGCACTAGCGGCAAGTCAGTTTTTTTCGGTACCCAAGAACGATTCGTCGCTCAAATTTTGTATGCAGATTTAGATCTAAGGCTGGTTTTTAATTACAACACGCCAAAGTGAGTCAAAGGCTTAACGCAATCATCTTCGGCTGTGAAGAATTGCAAAAGACGTGGTCTAGATCTCTTAATTACTTTATTATAAGAAATCTTATATATTCTATATATATATATACATACATATATATTTTTTCTATATATATATATATATACATACATATATATTTTTTCTATATATCCATGCGCAACATGGGTGGTTTCCGAATCAGCTGCGTGTGGCAAAAAATATATTATAACTTAAGTCTATACATCAGTCTAAATTTTAAAATATTTTGGGTATAAAACAAAAAATGTCAGTGATAAGAAGAGTCAACATGAAAAACGTAATATTATATTATGTATATATAAAAACAAAAAATCAAATCGTCGAATAATCTGAAATTAACGCACCAGCACTTGCTTACTCCACTGATAAGTGGAATGACAGAAAAACCTACCAAAAGCTATGATCAAAGGTACATACGTAATAATAAGAATTAATATATATGTTTATATACAATATATACCATATAAATACTTGTATATATGCAATATACATATATAATATATAACTGTAGGTCCGTATGCACCTGTGGAAGCATACGTGCCAGCTATATTGTCCATATGGTGAACCACCTGTTTCTATCGCTTATCAACTTATCAGTGTAATCACGACAAATACTTAGAACTGTTAATAATACATTATACAATAAAATTTTTAACAAAGAAAAAAAAAACACTTTTTCAATGGCACCTTCTCCTCAGCCAAAAAGATTTTTTTGTTTTTTTATCACACGTTCACTATTAATTTTGTATCATTAACTCAAGAAATTGTTAATGATTGTATTTTTAACCATTTTTATAAGGAATATCTATTTTAGCTATATAATCTATGGGCAAATGATGGTCAACAAAATCAGGGTTACATACAAAGTTCTGAAAATCAACGATTTTTAAAAATAAAAATTTCGCATAACTCTCACTCACATTGGTTTCCTGGGACTAGATACCGTAGTTCACCAGCACTCAGCCTGCGGCATACAAATGCACTCTTTAATCGAAATTTCGTTATCAAAAAATATATTTTCGTCTATTTATCTAGCGTTGACAAAATACCTGTGCTTTTGCGAGTTTAAATAAATACGAAAAGCAGTAATTCGAAAAATATGTCGCATGCGTGCAGTTGTATGTATATACTTGCTTAAGTAAAATCATATAGGGCCGTCGGTGCAGCTGTTCCTGCATATCTTTAATACCTGTAGCCCATGTGCTGCGTGTAACGATTAAATATGCTGAACTGGGTTATCAGCATTTGATAAATTGCAAGCTCATTTTCCGTCATTCTATACAAGCGCAGAGACATATACACATCTAAATACGATAAGATTAAATGTGACTAATTAATATTGTATGTACTGCCATGTTGTTTTGTTTTCGAAATGTGAATAATTTATTCCTTTAATAATTGTTGAGACAACATGTGTAGATATTGCGGTAATTTTCATCGAATAAACAAATAAATTTCATGCTATATACATATTTTTTAAATAACACTGACATTGAAAAAATAATCTAAGAATACGTTTTTCTAATTCAGCTTATCAATTTTCGTTTCCTTTGAAACGGCTTTTCACCTAACCAAATATGGGCATATTGTCTAAACTGCCGAAGACAGCTATCAGCGCTTACGATCGGTTAACCACATTTTCCCCGATTCCTTTTCGTTCGATTTTAATGGTATTACCAAACCCCATCCTTGCCTTAGTATACTACAATTAACCTAACCTATCATATGGTTTATTGAATGTTTTAACAAAATTTAGTTCTTTTGGTTTAAAGTCTTCATATAAACTTTGAATGTTTTGACTATAGACTTTTCGAAATCACTTGAAGTAAATAGCTCGATCCGAGTACTAAAAATACCGGTGCCCACGACAATTGGGTTCGTAACCTGAACGAAACCCTATTTATATAGCCGACCTAGGACTATCAACTTGACAGCATTGCTCTAAATTACTTCGAGGACAATACCTTGTTTTACTGTAGGATTGTCTCCAATATTTAAAATAAATTGATTTAAATTCTCCCCACTATGCTATGTTGATTGATTTCAGAAGCCGTATGGTACTGAATTCTTCAGTAGAGATGGATTTGAACCCTTATGTATAAATAAAGTACTAAAGTTCGTCATAATTATGCTGAGGTTATTTATTTCGATTCCTGTGGGTTCGCCTAGATGGCTAACGGCATGAGATTAAAGATTTTTTAAACTAAGTCTCGAAAGAACACATAAATAAGTGCAGAAATGATGCTGCCTCGTCTTCTTCCGGACAACTTCGACTATTGCCATCTAACGAGACTTTTAGACTCACCGTATAATCCATTGATGGATTAAAACCACTACAAGAAGGAAAAAGCGTACCTTACTGAAGACGCGAAACTCATTGGATCTCTTACAATTTACTGCGAGCCAGAAGGATCTTGCGACCTTGCAGGTGATCTCTTTGAAGGAACGTACTAAAGTCCGGCCAACAAATTTTGGTCTTACGTGTTACGTACCCTTTTGGTATAGTAGTATAGTTCAATATAGCAATTTCAGACTAATAAACATTAATGAGGACAAATTAAGGGTTAAAACAGTTAAAATGAACCCTCCTGACTGCACTTAAACACAAAATATAAGGTAAATATTTTTGTTTGTTAGAAAATGTATACACAAACAATAGACAGTGGATCGAGGATTTCGAATGTTCGACTTGACTGTTCAACTTGAGTTCAATGGTGAGTGGATAGCTGACCTATAGTTTCTTTTACAAATATCGCTGCAAAAGAAGAAAGAAGAGTCAAATCTGGAGATCTGGGTGGTTATTCAATGTAGGGTCTCTTTCTCACTGGACGTCCAGTCATCTAGATCTTTTTCACGCAGCTGCGGGCAGTCATGTAGAGCCAACACACTTCGACTTTCTCGTTTTGTCTGAAAATATATGTGGACCAGTGAAGATTTTTTGGCACAAACGTCGCTCTCAATGTCGTTTTAGTCATTCTATAGCATTTCATAGAACTCAAATGCATATTCTGTACATTTTCTACCCATTCCTTCGAAAATTTCTAATTCTTAGCCTCTTATGTTTAAGCTCTAACTGCTTAAGAGCTTATCTCTTATTCTTGTGACCTGTTTCATGAAATACTTACCCTCTTTTCTACAACTAAAAAATGAGACACCTGCATTTTAGATTTTTCAATATTTGTAAACACCATAAAGTGTAGCCTTGAACTTTATTTTCATTGTTTTTGTTTTGTTGTCGTTTTCTTTCCCAACTATCTTTTTTTTTTTTGCAAAATTTTTTGAAGTTCTTGTAATTGCTGTTTTTGCTGTTGTTTGTGTTTTTGTTTTTTAGTTTTGCTCTCTTCTTTCAACACATTTTATGGCACTTCAACTTAGAGACTAAAAACAATGAGATTACAGTTAAATATTAAATATATTAATTATTAGAGTAAAATTACTTTGCAGCTTATTTTCACAAAAAAGTAGCAATCGTATTTTTTTTATAAATTTAACTTCGTATAGTACATAGGTACATACATAAAAGTTATATAATATATATATTTGCATTTAGGGTAGCTAGCTCGACATAAATATCTTTAGATCTATTTATATATAATATATATGTAGTAGTGAACATACGTGTAGTGGTTGCATGCAACAATTACATTAATTTGTACAAGAGCGAAAGATCCATTGTTGTTATATAGTATAATAGAGAGTAGAATTGAAATTTTATAAATATGTAGTAGCTTTTGAAAACTTTATGGAGAAAATCTTTTGAAAATTTTTTTAGTATTTTTATTTTGATAATATAGTTATTGTCATTCGAGTGTGTTGTAGCAATAAACAACTGCCATTTGTTGTTGTAAAAAATTTTAAAATTAGTTTTATTTTTTCAAATGTTTACCGTTAGTTTACAATTATTGTCTTGGCGGTAATTGAGCGATATTACTTTTATTTTCGTAAAAAGCAAGCGAAATGCTTTTGTTACGGTACTTTATTTATAGGAAAATGTTGAAGATTTTATTCAAAAATTCTTTTTTTTTACATATTATATAATAAAATTTAAGAATTTAAAATTTTTTATCATCATTTCAACACTTCTTATAATTTGTTTGTCTTCTCGAAAACTCAAAACCGTTATGCCGCACAAAATATTTTGCGCTTTTCGCTTGCTTTAGTTCACCTCTATATTTTTTGTACTGTTTTTTTTTTTGCTTTATTTATTTCATGTTACTTTTCTTTGTCAAACCATATTTAATACTATTCTGTCCCCTACGTCACTCTGTTCTTCTCTTTCTTGCATACAAATAAATTTATAAATAATTTTCTTAAATTTTTACCCACTTTTTTATACAATTTCTTATTGCCGAAAGCGTCATCACATCATACACATACTTATCAAAATAATTATTACTTAGTTAATATCAAATAGTTTGAGCTTTCATTGAACGCTTGCCATACTAGTATTAACTGATCGTTTTTTGTAAGCCATATCAACGCTTTTAAAGCTTTATTACACTTGCTCACACAGTTGAGCTTTCACTTCGCACACGCAAAAGCTTCGAACGCTTTTAAGCGTCAGTGCTTAAAAGCTTCAGTCACAATAATTTAAATGTGTTTGTTTTTTGTTTTACTTAATTGCTCAGTAGGAAACTCAGGAAGTCTAAAAATTAAGTCTTATGTGCTAAACGCACTATTGAAACCTGCTTGCTATCTAGCTTTCACTTTATCTCTTAGCGCTTATTCGTCCTTCTTCTTTCTGATCTTGCCTTCAGTCTGTATTGTTTCGGTGACGGCATCGAAGCAATCTGCCAGTGATGGCTCAGAACCATCGGCGCTGTAATCCTGACCAGCCATGCGGCTTAGCGTTAAAATGTAGGAACAGGCGATCCGCAATACCGAAAGCTTTGATAGTTTCTGCGCATTCGAATAGGATGGCACAGCGCGTCGCAGCGTCTCATATGCCGCGGAAATAGTATGCACGCGCGTGCGTTCGCGCGCATTCGCCTCTATACGTCTTTCGCGTGTCATATTCTTATAGTTCCGTTGTTGCGGACGCGCGCTACCGCTACCATTACTGCCGCCGCTACCGCTAGGCATCTCATCCGCTGCACTGCCGGGTTTATTGTATTGCAACGCGCTGCCATTAGTGCTAGCGGCCACATGTTGTTGTAGCGCGTGCTCGTCCCGCGCAGCGCTTAAGTGATGCGCGCTCGTCGTTAACGCTAGCGGTACAAACTCATTGTTAGCATGGAACTTTAGTTGACTATTTGCGGTTGCCTGTTGCTTTTTCGGTACATAAACGGACGGCGTTGATTCATCGCTGGCGGCCGCGTGCGTATACACATGCGCTTGTTCGCTCTCAAGCTTAACACTATTTGTGGTTGTTGGTTTCTTCGCAACTAGCGCTAGCGGCTCCAATTGCTCTTCGACGGTGGTGGCGGGTATGCGATGCAGTGTCGTTACGCCCGGATGTCGCACGAACACCTGCGCTGGATTTGGCATCAATTCATGAGGTAACACTTGACTAGGATCCCAGATGCCGTGCGGTGGTGGTGTCGCAAGCGCTGGCGGTGTCAACACCACTGCGGAATCTGTCGTCGAGGTATAACGTATGCGTTTCTTCAATGGCGCCGTGGCGAGTGCAGGCGCATGCGCACCCGCCGTAACAGACGTCGCGCAAGCATCCACCACTTTGGAAGGTTCCGAACTTTTACGTTTATTGCGCACGAGCGCAATTGGCGTGACTTTGACTTCAACCGAGTCCTCAGAGGTCTCTGTTGTCACATCGGTGGGGCTGGTGGGACTGCTGCTTTCGAGACGTGCATGCTCCATGCGGTCGAGATCGTCGCCGCCCTCAGAACTGCCGGAGCAGAAGCCAGCATCGCGATCGTTGGAATTGGGTGAACCTGTTAAGGAGGAAAAGAAGTGGAGAAGAGAAAAATTAGTAAACTCAAAGTATTGTTTTCTAAAACTTAAATGCAAGTAATAAATTACTAAACGCTAATAAAGTGGACTCGCACAGTTTCTTCGACAGCAATTTGCATAACTTAATTATTTTGTTGTTCATCAGACAACAAAAGCCAAAAATCAAAAGCAAGAAATAGTGAAACTGCCTTTAATCAAATAGAAATAAACAATGGAAATTATTCCGTCTCAAACAAGTTTGCGCCGCCTACGCGTCTGCGCACACATTATTATCAAAGCACGCCATGCGCCGTTAATCTGCGGTGTTTATTTTTTGTATGACAACAATACAAGTTAATCGGCGCGCAGCTGGCGGCACCCAAAATAAATATACAAAACGCATAAAAATTAAAAATTCCAAGCCATAAATTTAAACGTTTTAAAACTAGCCGAACGCGTTTGCTGATTCGACGCGTTGACGTCTGCGCTTTCAGGGCTTGGCCGTGACTCAAAGCTATAACTACTTAAGTCCCGCTAGCGATTCGTCTATTAAACAGGCGCAATGAGCCATTAACAGTTTCTGCTTGGTAGCGCTGTGCTGGCGAGGTGTCGGCGGCAAACAAAAAATTAATGCGTTATTTAACGTGCTGTTAAACGTTCGAGTTTAGCAGTTGACGGCTCATTTACAATTCAGACCGAGCGGCAAGTGGTACGCTTTGTGCGGATAATTTATTGAATTTTTTTATTGTAATAGATATATTTGATTATAAAATATAATTACATAATAAAAGTAATTACACTTATGAAACCAGTTTGTGCAAGAAGTTTGTTGATACAGCTAGATATAATTATTATTGTTTGTTTTTTTTTCAATTAAGTCATAAGTAAGTTTTTTTTTTATTTACATAAATGAGCTAAACTGGCAGGAAATTGTGGGTTGTCATTTCCGTCACTCTCACTTTAGAGCAGCGCCTGTCATGATGGTCAAAATAATTTCCGTTATGGCGATGTATAGTTAAACGAAATCAAAATCTAAACAGTACAAGTCACATTTCCGTTGAAAGTCACCAAAAAATTTAAAATTTTTGAAACTATTTATAGTTTGAACCGGCTTTGAAATATTGTAATTAAATTGAAAAAAATCTAATTCGCAATGAAATTCGTAATTCGGTTAAATTAGAACTGTTTAGTACTAAACGCTTTGATAATTATGAATATAGCATGAAAAAATTACAAAATAAATTAAAAATATCAATATTACATGGTATTTTAGTGATAATTATCTATATACGAAAATATTTTGGCGTAATTTTTAATTATTTCAGCCTTTTGCAGCTGCTAGTTACCAAACAATTATGAACCAGCAAAAACCGTTTCATAACCGATTCAACCGGTTCGCTTATTTTTCGCGAAATTATCGTCTGACTACCTTATATAATAAATATTGCATATTTTTTACCCCCACCAATATTTGTTTTAGCGCAATTTCCATTTATTTATAAAATTTTCAGCACTAGATGAGGTAAAATTTTAAAACAACAAAAACCGGTTCATAACCGATTTAAACGGTTTGATTTTTTTTTTACGAAATTGATGTTACAAAAGTCCAAATATGATAAGTAAATTTTTTTTAATGTAATATACGTATTCTCAACTAAAAACAGACCCTGTTATCAATATATAAACCTGATTCTACCAAAAATAATTTTTTTTTGTTTTCCAGCATTTTTTTAACTCGAACAGCCGCCGTCATAAATCAGTATACGTTTGTATATAATGGCAGCGTTCAGTTTTCAAGTTCACCACTCGGAAGCCAACAACCTCCACACAACAAAAAAAGATATAAATTCGTGGAATCCCACAACTGAAAGTGCTCGAAGGCAGGTTTGCAAGGTGCAAAAAAAAATTCTCAAAAAACATATGTTTTTGTCCTACTCGGTCACTTTTTCAAAAACGTTCTCAAGCACTTGACTTCGAATACATGTATGTATATGTGAACTCGCTCAACTCCACGCAACGTTTACATATACACATATATTTTATGTAGTCTCCACCAGCGGCCCATTCGCAATTAAGGATAATGTGTTTAGTATGCAAATTTTTTGCAGTTCAAAAATATTTTACTCACTTTAGAAGTACAACAATAAGAAAAATACCAAACTGAAAGCTTATTAATGAAACTGCTAGGGCCACGGTGATGGGTTTATACATATTTTGGCTTTAAATGCATATGTAAATACAATGTTGAAGGAACAGGTGTAACTTGTTAAATTTGTGAGCGCCATTTAACTGCCAGCTGTACCCAATGATATCCAACCGAGGGGCGTTGCTCGCTCTTTTTGTGCTGCGCTTGTCTCTTTATTATTTTTTGCTAATTGTAGCATTCATTCATAAGTAAAATTAACGCTTGTTGAGTAATTAACTTGTTAAAAGTGTATATTTATAAAGTTTTTAGCTAAAATTTGCTTCAAAGGCTATTTTATTTGTAATCAAATGCTTACAAATCAGTAATTTTTCTTACTATTTCAACACATTTCGCTCTATTAATGCGTTATGTGAGCAAAAAATTATAAACCGTTTCATAACCGTTTCAACCGGTTTAAACCGTTTCATAGAATTTTCACTATTTTGGCATGCAAAAGCATATTTTACTCCAAAAATTTTATTTTTATAAAAAATTTAGCTTAAAACTAATGTTAAATGTGCAATAAAATTCATATACATATGTGAAACGAAACGAAACTGCCAAAAAATCACAAACCGCTAATCAGCGCACGCACACACTTAACACATGCTTCAGAATTAAAATTTTAAAGGTTGAATATTTATTAGCGAATCAATAAAACGCAAATGCGCTGACGCATGCGTCACAATTTATGCAAAACCAATACGACCTGAATGCACAACAACAGCAAAAATCCCACAAGACCGGCAAATCGCAACGTAAATTGAGGCAATGAGCAAAAGGCCGTGACTCGTCGATCGAAAGTAAACGCCGACAGACGAGTGCCAGGCATATATAGCAGCGCGTGCGTGTGTGTGTGTCAGTATACGTATGTTGTTGTAGCACATATATTAACATACATATGTAAACACATATGCATATTAAAGTTGTCGTGTTTCCACGAATTACTTCACTGCAACACTTTGCTCGCTGCTTACTTCTGCAAGTGGCACGTTGTTGTTTTAATTAGGGCTTTAATCTAGAACATTTGTGCGCCATATTTACGCTGTTTACTGCAATAAATTCCAATAATTAGCTGCAGATTGCATCAATCAATCAATCAATAATTATATATGAAATCCCCCTTGGCCGCCACTGGGGACTCTGGGTGTGTTCTGGTTTGAGCCCATCCAACCTTCGACTCACAGCGCTTTGGTGTTGCGGTGCTGCCTGACGCCTAGTACCGTGCTTCACTTAATTGTAATCATTTTAAATAATATTATTAATATGCAACTGTTTTAATTTGAATCGCGGCGCTCGTCGACAGACTCATTTGCGGGATTTTTTGTTTGTTTATATTCTTATTGTAAAGCTGTTTTGCTGAACGTTGTATATATATGTGCACATATGTACATATGTATGTATGTATGTGTGAATGCATGTGTTAAAATGCAATAAAACCAGCGAAAACAGTTGCGTACACTGGGCGTTTGTATGTGTGTGTGTGTGTGCCTTGTTTAACGTTATTATTTTGACCCAAAACCCCAAATTAATTAAAAATTAACAAAAAAAAATTCGCAAAATTTTCGCCATTAAGTGTAATTAAAAAGAAACAAAAATATTCCACGAAATTTTTTAACTTGTTAAACTGACTTTTGAATATTTCACATGTTTCGAAAATTGCGAGACAAAAAATGTATGCCTTAAAATTTCGTCGCTTATCTTTAATTGAATATTTTTTGTATTTTTAATAGATTTTGTCAAAGTTACATAAAAACTGTTTCAACCGGTTCGAACCGGTTCACAATTTGTTTAAAAAAAAAAACAACACGTTAAATGCTTCGTATAACAAAATCTGATTATTTGTATTATATTTTTAATTGTTTTAATAAATTAAATTCACACTTTTACTTGGCAAACAACAATATCATGCATTTAATCTTAATAATAAATGTTTTAGCTGAATTGTGATTTCTTGCTTTATTTGTAAAAATTTCTTATTATTTTGCACTTCTTTTTTTTTTGCAATTATTTTGTAACTGCTGCCAAGTAACAGTTTCTTTAGTGTAAAATGCATAATCTGGCAGTTGTGACGTGTTAGTAAACAATTTTTTATTGTTTTAGTCAGTTAAGCGTATATTTTGATGTTACTGATGCATCTGCACATGAAAATTTCAAATATTTTTGAATACTATTATTATTATTTCGAAATAACTGCCAAATTTGTGCAATAACCGTTTCAACCGGTACGAACCGGTTCGAAATATTTTGCAGTAAAATATGTAAAACGCATGAAACGACAGTTTTTAGATGTTTTTAATGAATTTTAAACGTTTTAACCAATGAAGCATATATTTTAATACTGCTAATGCATCTGATCATGAAAATTAAAAATAATTTTCATTACTATTCCATTTATGACTATTTATAAATACAAAACGCGCAATATTTTCTGCTGGTTTTAAAGATTTAGTTAGTCCTAAAAGCATTCCCTTAACAACAGCGCGCTAATGCCTGTAAACATAATATTTATTTTCTTAAATTAAGTATAATGCGCACATTTATGTCTTCATTTATATGTACATACTTACAAATAGTTTTATACATGCTGTTATGAAACATAAATAAATATTGCACAATATGACGACATTTGCATATAGAATTTCAATATTCAAATAGTTGATTATAATTACTAGAAAAAATTCGATTTCTTCTCTTTTCCAATTTTTTACGAGCACTTAAAATTCATCAAAAGATTTTAATGATTTTTTTCCCTGCACTTAGCACTTTCACACTTGCTCCACACACTCAAATGGCTCGCCGCAGCTCGTTTAACGT